CATTTTATGTTCAATTTCATTGTTTTTATACAGCTCGACTTCATCATCTATTTCATATAATTCTTGTTCTACATCACTATCATCTTCTTGTTCTACCTTTTTGATGTGTGGTTCTTAGGTTACAACATCAACATCATGATCATTTACATCATTTACATTATAATCATTGCTATCATTTGTATTTTCGATAAAATAATCAAAAAAATCATTTATAATTGATTCTGTAGTATTTATAATTATGCCTAGTCTTAAGGCTTCAATTATCGCATTATTCATGTACCCTAACGGGTTTACTAGAAATCCAATATAAGGTGTTGATCTTCCTGCTAAGATAGCTGCAAAGTCTCGAACTTCCTTTTTACCACACTTATTTTTGGATCGATGTCTACACGCGATGATGAATTTTGTTGACTTATATTCACCACATAAATAATAGTATTCATTATTTCCAATAGCCAAGAGGGAAACATGGATTCGATTTCATCTAAACAAAACCTTGATGGTATTTCGGTATACTTCACTGTTTATACGGTAAATCTATTATATATACATGAGAAAAGGTGAGTATTTCGTGTCATCATCACATCTATCCTAGTTCCATTGGTAGTAGTTTCAGAAACGCAAGAATCTATATGGGCGATTACACAAGATTGGCAGTCACTGGTCTCATTTTCGCAGCGTGACTTACATCTTTGCATATATTAAACAACCATACTCAGAAAGTAAAAACTTACTTGTTTGCGAGAAAGCGACTCCTCTAACATATTTAAAGAACTGAAAAAAAAAAAGATCGAATGAGTAACTAAGTGAGCGAAGAACCAAATACCGGTAAGTAACTAAGCGAGGGTGTGTGAAGGACCGAATAAGTGACTAAGCGAGCTAGGGACCGAATGAGTAAATAAACAAGTAAAGAACCAAATGAGTAACCAAACGAGCGAAGAACCAAATACCGGTAAGTAACTAAGCAAGGGCGTGTGAAGGACCGAATAAGTGACTAAGTGAGTGAAGAACCGAATAAGTAACTAAGCGAGCGAAGAACCAAATAAGTAATTAAGCGAGGCAAGACTAAGTGTGTGAAGAACTGAATAAGTGACTAAGCGAGCGAAGGACCGAATAAGTAACTAAACGAGCGAAGGACCGAATAAGTAACTAAACAAGCAAAGGACCGAATAGTTTAATGAATGGTTTTTGATGATTATACAGGCTCATTATTGTAATCGTCAAAAATTTTTTTTTGATTATTGTATATAATATATATACTGGTATATATATATATAATGCTAAATATATATGATTATTGAAAGTTATTTTTTACACATAATAGTGTAAAACTCATGCAAAAATAGTTATGTTATTAATGCAAATTCTGCTTAAAATAGTAATTAATTCTATTTAAATATAGATTTATATAAGAAAATTATTATTATTATTTTTAAGACTAAGTTGTTTTCCAGCATTATTTTTTATTGGTCTCTTACTAGTATGATTTTACAAATTTGTGTTTATTTATTGTGCATAAGAGTTATATTTGG